ATAACCTAATATTATTTGTATTATAATAAATTTATTATAATAAATAATAAATTTTATAAAATATTTTATAGTTTAAATATTATTTTAACCTTTGACTAAATAGTTTTCAATGCTTAATCATGGATCTCGAGAGTTTATATGAATTTACACTTATTTTTGTTAACATCAGACTTGGAAATTTCTCTGACTCTTCCATGATATTATTTTACGGATCCTTGATTTCATTATTATCACTGTTAATTAAGAATAAGGGTGCAAGGAAATCTTACTAAATTCATTCCACGCCTCGAAATTTCTGCGCTTATCGTTTCTTCTTGTATGAAATTTATTAATATAATTATTTATTATTAATAGAAATGTATTTATTTTGTATGACACTGAAGGCCTAATTTAGGTTGAAACGTTTGTCATTGTACACTAAGTGGAATTATATTGCATGAATAACTAGCAACGGCTCTTGTTATTTATTATTATTTGATACATATATAAACGTTTCGGTCTTACTGTTAGATTATCCTTAGTAAATATGTATCATTACTATAGTTGGATTCCAAACATTGCGGTCGGAATTTAAAACTAAGATTGTTTCAACAGCGTGGAAACGTTGTGAGAAATTATAAATGTTATTTTCATTTCAAGGGATATTATTCAGTGAAACGTTATAATTGGAATTGGAAATATGATATCATATCTGTTTATTTTTCAATTTCATTTTAAATTTCATTTTAAATTTCATTTATATGTGAGAAACCAGAAATTATTAGAAATTGGCTTTTACAACTGTTATAACAAAGGAAAAAAGAAAAATGTAATTAGAGAAGACAGAGTATAAATTATTTGTCATGGACATATTATTTGTCATGGAAATAATCTGTAGCAAAATTAATATAAGCATTAATTCCAATTAAAAATATTAATAAATACGTGCATATGAACATGTTTGTTTTGCATATAAAAGGTCTTTGTAAATTGTCACAAAACATAATATTTGCAGCTTCTCTTTGAGGTAGATAATTCAAGAATATGTTACACTCATTTTTCATGCTTTGATTATTAATGAGATTTGCAAGTCTGATTCATCAAATTCCAGTCGAACGTATGTGTGTCATCGATTGTATAGAATTTTGTATATTATTTATATTATTTCAGATTAAATATTCATCAAATCGAAAAGAAGTGAGTCTGTTACAGCCAAAGTATGGCGAAGACTATTGAAACCAAGTCGGCAGACAAGAGCATTGGCCGCAGAAACGCCGTTCCCATAATTCACGTGCGAGGAACGCACTACGAGATCGGTTTCGATATCGTAAGAAATATCACACAGTGTTCATCCGATTCGATTTATTTATTTAGATTTAGATTTGCGAATGCTCGATCTCTATTAGCTTTCTATATAGGAGCATTACCTTTCTTCGTAGTTTTTTTTTAGTTCGAGAATCAGATTTTATAATTTTCGAGGATTACAAAGTTTCGAAATAAATTTTCTTACAATAATATATAACACATTACGGACCGGTTGTTCCAACTTCTTGATAGCTTTATCCATCAGTCATTTATTAATAAATATTAGTAATTCTTACTGAGTGGTTGGAATACCAAGTAAAATTATTTCTATCGTTCTTACCAAGAAAAAGTTATTACCGGAAGTTGGAACAACCGACCCTAAAAAAGATTATATTTATCGATCGAAACATTTGGGGAAATAATACATGGAAATAGAAATAACTGCGGAAACATCATGGCACGTGGCCCTAAAGCCCATATTTTTACATACTATAATTGAAATATTTACATTTTCATTTGGTTTTAATATATATGCAATAAAATAATGGAATTTCAAATATTGCGAGATATCAGTTTATTTGTAAATTTTATTTTTATGTGAGAAACCAGAAATTTATTTATTATTAGATTCGAGACTGGCTTTTACAACTGTTGTGACAACCGCGCATTAATTCAACGTAATAATAATAAGCGACATTTTCATTTGCAAGATAAATAGGTCAAGTATATACTGTTTTCTTCGACTTATCTTTAATTTTTAAAAAGTGAAAAAAAGATACAATCAAACATCCACCTGTCAGCTATTGACTTAATTTATAGCGACATTTGCGTTCTTATCGATCGTAAGTAGCGCAAATGACACATGTAAGTCGCCGTCGTCAATGAAGCTTGCAATTTCTCGTGTTCAATCTAGAGGAATGGATTCTGATATACATGATTTCAAAATACGTATAGGTAATCGTATTAGCACAAGTTCAGATAGGGCACACGATGAATAAAGTGACAGCAAGAAAAGGAGAGCGATCGTTGTTGTGACATTCACTTTGATTAAATTCCTGCCGCTCACGCAATATTCGAGGGCCGATTATATTCGTTCTAATTCTGCACTGTCAGCATCTAGCTCGACCACAAATTGCGGTTGTAAAATAACACTTTATTTAAGGGTTCCGAGAATGAAAATAGACGAAATTGTTCTATTAATTAGGCCAGATGTTTTCTTTACTTATTTTTTGTTATATTAATTATATCTTTTATATTAATTTTAAATTAGAATGTTAATTCTTGATAAATAAGTCATTAATCTAGAGTTCTTTTTAGGGAATCACAAATAAAATTTTATAAAATGGAAACGCTGGAAAAATCCAACGATATAAATTAATAAATCCTTTAGTAATAAAAGTTTATTTTGATCTCAGTTTATAATTAAATTTTACCTTCTTTCTAAATGCAAAAAATATGTCAATCAAACTGGGATAAAAGTTGTCAATGTCAGCAAAATGACAAACTCGATCGCGTTATTATAATTGGAGCTTTCTTTTTTGATACTTTTTACTTTTACTTTTCACAGGGTCGCACTTTTGCTAAGATGATCCAGGATTTCGTGAACATTTATTCACCGCTGAATGAAATTTATTTACCGCTATTTACAACCGAAGAGGGCAGAAAAGTTTATGAAGAAACCTTAGATACAGTTAAAAAACATTTCCCGCAGTATGTAAGAGAAATCAAAGGAACGGCGGATGGTGCTAATGTACCGTTTTATAAGGTAAGTTTTTTTATGAGATTTTTTATAAGGTTATTTATAATGTTTCTTATAAGGTTTCTTATAAATATCAAATTGAAAATAAAATAAAATTGAAAATAAAATTGAAAATAAAATTGAATTAAAAATTGAAGGTTGTGTTAAAATTATAATTATTTAATTAATCAATAACAAGATATTAAACATTAGCAATTGTACAATCAATTTTTAACAATTAAAAATTCATCAATTGTAAAAAGAAATATAACACAGAGTAGTTACACAATTAAACTTGAATTTCGAAGATTAAACATGAAGATAAGATAAAATTAATTTAGTTTCTTTTTAATGTGTGCAAACACATCTCTGTTTACTTAAATCATATTAAAAATATTCAAGTATGAAGAAGGAACATTGATAAATATGAATAAAGTGCGGAAAAATAAAAATTCTTATTCCTGAGAAATAATTAGAAAACTTCTCATTTTTATTAATAATAAAAAAATTTCGGAATTAAACAAAAATATAACGATTGTTGCAGTTGTTTTTGATGCATCTGGACGATATTGTTCCAAACGTCACCGGAGAATTACAAGAAAACGCACTGCCAGTCGGTTGTTCGACTATCATATGCAACCAACCGGGACACGTAAGAATCAAAATAGATTATAGTTTATTTAGTTTATCTTAGTAATCTCAGGAATCTACCATTAATGAGCGTCTGGGACATTCTGTATAACGAGCAGTTTTGAATCGCAATATCTTAGATATTGCCGGGAATTTTTTTCTCTACAAGTATTTTCCGAATATAAATTGTTATCTTATATAAGACGTCAAACAAAACATGTTACGTCATCATGATGTTGTTTTATCTTGATAATATTCGAATTAATTATTACATATTGTTTTACGTTATCTGATGTCTGCGGAAAGAGAAAACCCAAGTCTTATTGTATCTTGCGTCATTTATTCTTACGTGATTTATGTTATTTTGTTATTACGCGTTTCGTAAGATTGATTTTTGTACTCTTTTCATTATAATGGATTATTTACTATTGATGGTTTCATCCTATTCTGACACGCAATTAACGAAATACGTAGGAGATCTTGGGTCACAACGAGGACGCTCTTGGTCAAATATTGAATCACTGGTACCTCGTGAGCGCTCACGTGATCGAAGCGGGCCACAGAGAGGAGAAATTCACTTCGCTAAGCTACGCCGGTTTCCTACCGGGTTACACGATGGGCTATAACCAACACGGCCTCGTTTACAGTATTAATACTATCAGCGCTGCTGTTTTACGATCCGGCAAAATTCGTGAGTTTCTTTTTTTCGTAGAATTTCAATCAAGAGAACGAAATACAATACCAATCTTTGAGATTTTCTGAGATCTAACAATAAGATATAAAATATAAAACTTAACATCTATCCAATAACTTTCCTATTAATAATATATTAATAATATAAATCTTATTCATAGCAGTTATATGCCAACAGTTAAAATTCTACTGAAAGAGTGATGGCAAAAAGACCTGTTTTTTAGCCCATTTTTTGGACCTCGAATTTCAAACTTTTTTTTATGCCAAATAGTACTGTATGATGGAACATTAATCCCAGAGAAATTTTAAGATGAGCATAAGCGCGGTTCTGGAGATATAAAGGATTGAAAGTGATGATTTCTCATAATCCATGAAAGTACACGAAACTCTTTAAGTATCCATACCAAGGGATAAAATATATATAACGAAGTGAAACATATCATTTCTTATGGATTTTTATGCCGGATTGAAATATGACCTTAGTTTTCGTCTAGCATGAAAATTCCCCGAAATAGATGGAGTTGAAGTAACACGTGACACCGCCTTTCACGGATCGAGATGCTTTTCTGCTGAGAGTCCCCTCTTAAGATGATTTTTGACTGATTACTAAATTCGTAACAGTTTTTACATATTTTACTCTGTAATGGAATGTGATTCAATTCTTCTAATTTCCGTTTCTTTGGATTATTTTTCCGCAAATTATTAACCATTATCAACGAATTTGATGTGTCTTCGATAGAAAAAAACTTATCATTTTTCGATCTTTTTTGGTCATTACAGCCTAAACATTTAGTGAAAGGCATTGTCTTATTGAAGAATCAACGATCGTCAAGATATGAAAAAATATACCTGAAGAGACAAGAGAATGTAGAAAAAATTAAGATGAAACAAGAGAAAAGTAGCGAAAAACCATAGATATATATAAAAATAGACCGAGCACTTATATGACACAAGTTAAAGTATCGTACAAACAAAAAAATGGAAAACAAACAAGCAAGAATAGAATAGAATACATTAGAATAGTATGTAGATAGATTCTTGGAATCTATCTACATACTTCATGTGATAGTACAGTATTTCAACTGCGAAAGAACTTATCAATGCGTCATGTAGCGAGACTCTATCTTTTAGGGTGCTTTATAAAGCACGCCTCCCTTCCTCTCCTCCATAAATGAAATAGCGGTGAATAGTAGATCGTTCATTCTCTAAACAATGAATCCATTTGATAAAATATATCCTCAATATTACATGAACTTCAGCCACGTATTTTTCCTTATGCGATATACCCTGACTGGAAATCATCATTTTCACCCTCTTGTATTTCCGGAATCGTGTCTACGCTTATCTTGAAATTTTACTGAGATTAATGTTTTATTTAATAGTACTATTTGTCATGAAAAAAAGTTCGAAATTCGAGGTCTAAAAAATGGGCTAAATTTGCCATCACTCTTTATTACAAATTAAAAAACTCGAAGAGTATAATTTTATTGTTTTATCTCCTAATCGAGATCTTCCCTTTAAGCGCGATACTTCTTGACGCGGGCACTGCTGGGCGTGGAAAACTTCGTACAAGCCCAGCAAACACTAAGAAATGAGGGTTGCGGCGCAGCGGAGGGTTTTTCAGTAAACATGACGTTTCTCGCGCAGGAGGGTGACCGAATGTTTCACAATGCTGAAGTGGGTCCGGCCGAGCCAGACGCCGCCCGGTCGCAACTCAATATTTTGACCGTCAGCCCGGGTGAAAATACATCGCATTGCAACAAGTATATACCTACGTTGCATTATTCCGATGATATGCATATGCATAAATCAAGCATTGCGCTCACAGAATGAAATACTTCGCTTTCTCATTTCTATAAAAATTTTTTTTTTTGCCCACCCTTATCTCTTTTAATCGTCGTTTTATCGATATTTGCTCAATAGTAAAAATGCAAAATACTTAAATAATCCAATAATGCAAATTGCGATTGTACGCCTTTTTCTATTTTGCACATTGTATTTTGTCTTCATATTACGCAACGCTTCTATGATTCCAGATACTTGCGACTGAAGGTGGCAGAAGTAAAGGGAATGATTATAACGAGCAGTATCAGGAGAATGCAAGCGATCTGCAAGCATCCACCGGTTAAAAGTCGCCAGAATGTAATTGATATACTCAGCGATCAGACGGATGATGAATTTAGAGTCTATCAAGAGATCAATAGCAACGATCGTATTAAGACGATCGCCACAGGTACGTTTTGAAAGCCTAAGAGAAATTTTTTAAATTAAAATTGAATCATTAAGCATCGGATAATCAAATGATTTAATAATTTCGTGGCTCTTTTATTATCCAATAATTTAAAAAAATAAACTAAAGCTACAAAAGCCAGAGCCAGCTAAATCTTGCTCAATTTTTATTTTACAAATGTGTTGTTTATATTTAAAGTTTATAAATTATTACAAACAAGCTGCAGAGCCAGAGCTAATTAAATATGCTCAGTTTATTACTTTTTATCACATTAAATAAATAGACGTTTCGACCATTCGAAACGCGTTGTTTAATGTGATAAAAAGTAATAAACTGAGCATGTTTAACTATCTCTGGCTCTGCAGCTTATTGCAGCTTTGTAATAATTTATTTTGAATAATTCGAGCCGAAAAATTGTAATATTTAAATTATTTAAAGTTTATATTTAAAGAAATATAATAGAATGGCATCATGAGCCGTCGCAGGATGTTAGTGCTAAATTTTTAATTTTTTCATAAAGAATTTTTAATAAATTAGTCTACAAGAGACAGTTAGATTGTACACCGATCTCAGACCGAGATACCCAATGTGTACGAAATTATAAGTATATTGTTCTCATATATCGAGAAACTTTATCTTACATATAGGAATTATTGGAGAGAAAGGAAGAGATAAAAAATATCAGGCGCGAGTGGCTAAGCCGGAAATTGAATCCGGGAATTGAATCCGGGTCTTCCGCTTGCCGGGCGAATGTTCTGACCACTAAACTACTCAGACTCCACGCTTCTAACATTTATCTCTCATAGATTAGGAAATCAACAATTCTGTAGGACATAAACGCGTCATATTGCCGGCGTGATTTAAACACATATAATGTAAAGGCCCTATAAATTCAAGAAATATAATAGAATGGCATCATGAGCCGTCGCAGGATGTTAGCGCTAAATTTTTAATTTTTTTATAAAGAATTTTTAACAAATTAGTCTACAAGAGACAGTTAGATTGTAAACCAATCTCAGATCGATATACCTAATGTGTACAAAATTATAAGTATATTGTTCTCATGTATCGAAAAACTTTAACTTATATATAGGAATTATTGGAAAGAAAGGAAGAAAGAAAAAATATCAGGGC